TTGTCTCTCCTGTGCAGCGCCCACCCACCTAATTTATCCCCCCCCCCAAGTCATTCTTTTCCGCCCACCTCAAACCTCCTCCCTTTGTTTGGCAAAACTGGAGACCCGGCTGTCAAGGGAGGACAGCACAGACGAGAGCAGGTGGCTACTTTAATGAGGAAGGAGGTACTTTCAGCACCATTGGTCGGTTAGCCGTTCAAGGCAGCAGATGCCAAGCTGAACCCCTCCCTGCGTTGGGGCATATTCTTACCCTCTAATCTCTAAATGGGGGCGGGGGGGGGGGGAGGAATGCCTCTAAGCTCAAAACAAGGGAATAAGTTAATGAGGCTTTCCTCAGCTTGGAGAAAGCAGCTGAGCCACAAAGCTAGCAGCAAAGAGATAGTCTGCATCAAACCAGAAGGCTTCATGTGTGGATTGAAGACACCAACTTTTTCAGGTGATGGACTTGGAGACCCTTTTTTTCTTTGGACACAAAAATTTCAAACCCCGCAACAATCGGAGAATAAGTCAGATCTTCCTGGCCCCAAACAGAATTGTTCATATCAATTGGATTTCACCTAATCTGTATTTCAGGCAGTTCTGCAACTGAAGGGTTAGCGATTGCAACCGGGCAGGATTTTCAGTATGGTCCAATTTGTTACAGGTTTTAGATCCTGGTTGCTTCCGTTCTTGATATGGACGGACAAGGAGAGGATGTTTGGAACGGGGGGGCGGGGGGGAAGATGTGGTTGAGAATGAAATGGGGTGGTTATGGTGGGTGGGTGTATAGTGAGATGTGAGATGGGCTCTGCAAAGGCTCCAGGACAGAAAACATAGCCTTTCTTTGTTACAATCCTGGCTCAGAGCTATGCAACGCCCACGTCATTTGGGATAGAGGCCCTTCGTCAGCGTTGACCCCACGGGGTGCTTTTATTTGACGAGAGTTGGGACCTTGGAGGTCTTCCAGTCCAACCCTCTGCCATTCCAGACAAAGGGCTGTCCAGTTTCTTCTTTAAAAACTTCCCGTGTTGGAGCATCCACGACTTCCTTAGGCAAGCAGTTCCACTGATTAATTGTTCTCACTGTCAGGGAATTTCTCCTTATTTCTAGGTTGGATCTCTCCTTGATTATTTTCCACCCATTGCTTCTTGTCTTACCTCCAGGTGCTTTGGAAAATAGGTGGACCCCGTCTTATTTCTGACAGTCCTCCAAATATTGGAATACTGCTGTCAAGTCATTCTTAGACCTTCTTTTCGTTAGACTAGACATACTCTGATGGACCCAGATGGACCCAGAATGCCCCCACCTTCCCAGCTTCTTGAACCCTGTTTTAGGTGGGTCTTCTCAGCCAGCATCCTGGAGGTGTCCCAGAGCCAAAACCCAAGAACCAATGAAGCCATCGCTGAGATTTGCAGAAACCTCCCTTGAAAATAAATGGGATGGCTTGGCTTGGCTTGGCCATACGACACACTAACTTGATATCAGGCGTTTGTGGGAATGGTGAGGTTTCCCTCCCAACTCCCTGGAAGTTGCCAGATGTGGCCCTCAAATTTGAAGACTTTGTCCCTCGAGCCAACACTGGGAAACTTCTGCAAACATCTGGGAAGGCTCCAGAAGGATTTAGGAAAATGGCCCGGAGGAGATCTATTTTGGGTAAGAATGCAAAACACGTGCTAAAAATAAAGGACCTTTCTCCCCCTGCTGTTACTGAAGTTCTCACACTGGAAATCTCTTAACCCGGACAGGAAAAGAAGGATGATCTTGGAGTTCCACAGCAAAATCTGAGCAGGGATTGTCCCCAGGATAGCTTTCTATGGGAAAAAAAGCCTCTGACAAACAAACAACGCTATTGAGCTCTATGCCTCCAACCCAATATTCTGGGAATTCTGGGAGTTGAAGTCCCACATGAGAAATACTGCTCTAGACTTTTATTTAGCCTTTTAGAAATGTTCTTTGCAGCTGGTTAAATCCCCACCACCCTTTAGGATTTCTAGTGATGTGAAAATTTACTATCCCAAGCAGAAACAGCTGCAGTCGATCGCTTGGACTCTTCCTGAACTGCTGGGGCTCCAACCTCTGGAGTTAAGCCATTCAGATTACAGATTAACAGAGTTGGAAGGGACCTTGTAGGTCATCTAGTCCAACCCCCCACCCAAGCAGGAGACCCTACACCATTTCTGACAGAATCTCTTCTTGAAATCCTCCAGTGATGAAGCTTCCACAACTTCTGAAGGCAATTTCTGCTCCATCGGTTGGTTGTTCTCATTGCCAGAAAAATTTCTCCTTACTTCCTGGCTGAACCTCTCCTTGATCAGTTTCCATCCATTATTCCTTGTCTGGCCTTTGGGTGCTTTAGAAAATAGCTTGACCCCTTCCTCCTCCTCTCTGGGGCAGCCCCTCAAATATTGGAAGACTGCTATCCTGTCTCCTCTGGTCCTTTCTTCCCTAGACTAGCTATGCCCAGTTCCTGCAACCGTTCATCCTACGTTTTAGCCTCCAGTCCCCTAACCATCCTGGTTGCTCTTCTCTGCACTCTTTCCAGAGTTTCAACCTCTTTTTAATAGTGTGGTGAGCAAAACTGGATGCAGGATTCTAGGTTTGATTCCATTGGATGCCATCCTTGGCACCACCCCAGTCTGCTTTAAGCTCCACCCTCAGAATTCACTTGCTCTACTCCATGCAGGGCCAGAGAGCCAGAACATTTCATCAGCCAGAAATAATTCATTTTCATGCCAAAAACTGCTGAACTGTCAGCCATGCTGGAGGATGCTGGAGAGTTTGATGAGGCTGTTTTTCCAACACACCCTTCAGAGGAAGGTTGAATCACTCGCTTTCTGCACTTGTACAAAGTCTTGAAGCACAAGGCAGCCCAAGGGGCTGATTTTGCACAGCATATATAAATGAGATTAGACAAGGCCACCACCACCCAAGCTTTGCAGATGGTACAAAGAGAGCTACTGACCCGATGGTTTGGATTTTACATGGTTTTTTTTTTCTGTACCCCCATTCTTGATTTAAAGCTTCAGCTTGTTTTGCTACATCACCCAATGCATTGAATGGCTTTCGCCCTCCATCTCCCAAAAGATTTGCACCCAGTTGCTGTTGCTTTGTTCAGACAATTTAAAGTACTCCAAATTATTGACATTGTATTTTAAGAAATTTGAGAGGTGGAATCAGTGGAGAACGATAGGGAAAGGGAAGGTATGCAAGAAACATTTATTGCACTGAGAAAATGTAACCAAATAGGCGAAATCTCTTTGTACGAAAAGAAATGGGTACAAAACTTACAAACCAGGTTAATTACAGAATTAAACTTGGCTATCAAATGCAACTTGAGCTCAGGGTGCCCCCTAGTGGACAGAACCTTCTATGCTCCATTACCGCAAACATCAGCTCATGGGGTGACCCCAATTTCTTCAAATTTGGCTAAAATAAACCACATTTTCTTCAAATGTCTCTTGCAGCTTGAACACTGCTAGATGGACCCTCTGCGTGGACTGCTGCTGAAGGCTGGGTTTTTCGCAGGAGAGGACAAGGGACATGAAGTGACAGACTGCATAATGTTAGGATGGTGCCATCACGAATCCTATGATTTCATACCGTATTGGCTTGCATTGGATGCTTATGGGATGGCTAGTCAGTTTGGTAGTCATTGCAGTGATTCTCAACCTTGACAACTTTAAAACAAGTGGACTTCAATTCCCAGAATTCCCCAGCCAGCATTTATGCTGGAGAAGGGAGGTTGAAGCAAACTTTAACTTAATTATCTGTAGCAGTCAGGGGATGCAAGCCAACCCAAGATAAACATGGCCAGTTCATCTTCTGCATACCAAAAGTGACTTCAGGAACTTGCTAATCTTTCTCTCTTTGGGGAGAGTTGAAAGAAGTTTCCCTTATTTCAGCTTGGAGGGGAGGAGGCAGTGGTGGTATTCAATATATATATATATTTTACTACCGGTTCTGTGGGTGTGGCTTGGCGGGCGTGACAGGGGAAGGATACTGCAAAATCCCCCTTCCCTCCCCACCCCACTAACCTGCTTTCCAGCTCTGTTCTCCTGTGCAAAAGGACCACTCCTCCCCTCGCGACTTATGTGAGCATGGAATTAATCCATTTTGGGGGGAAGTACAAAACATGGAACTGTGGACAAGCCAGCTTGAGTTAGCCCAGTATAGACTTGAGAGGCACAAGCAGGCAGAACCCAACCAAGGCTTGTGTGCCGTGTAGGCTTGGTTAAGTGTCTTGTGAATGCAGCTTTGCTTTAAAGCAAGGTCGCGCCTTGTTCAAGGCCAGCAGCCCAATTCTTTGGATCACATTCCGGAGACGGCATTCCAAAACATGTGGAGCCAAGATGAAAAGAACCTCCTTGGCTTGCTTTTTCATTTGACATGGATGTTTTCAATTAAATGGAAACAGAGGATAATTCAATATACCCTGTTTCTCCAACAATACGGCCTCCCCTAATAGGAAGTCCCAGCATGTTTTATAAGCATGAAATGAAATTAAGCCCCTCCCCCCAAATTAAGGCCTATATTAAAACATGCAAAATGGGGGGGGGGGGAATGGTGGGGGGGCTCGCCGTTAGGAAGTACTTTTGTTGCACACCCGGATATGATGCTGCCTGTGTTGATCCCAATACGAAGTGCCCCACCAACACCAAGGTCAACATCCAAGCTGTCACCGCCCGCCTGCCCAAAGATGCAACAGGGGGGAATTAAGTCACCCCCAAAAAGACAACCTAGCCATTTGGGGGGGCTCAAAAAAACTAAGACTCGGCCTTATTATATGAGAAACACGGTACTTAATGCAAGATTAGAAGATGTGGAGTTGAGAATCTTGGCCCATCGAATCACCCAAGCATTGGATATAACTGAATGAATATCATCATCATCTATTTCACATCTATATTTTTTTTTTCCTCAGAGTCACGTTTTGGGAGCTTTTTTTTTTGGAGAGGGCCATCTGTAGCTTTGGGTGGCACAGCTCTGTTTGGTCACCATAATTTCCACAATTGTCATGAGGATTTTGGTCCCTGCACTCCTCCCCATAAAAACCTCTGAAATCAGGAAGGGGCTTCGTGGCCAAAGAGGGGTTGGAAATTAAACCTCTTTTCATGGAGAGAGAGAGCTGAAGAATTGGCCGAAAGCCGAAAGCCCACCCTTTGGAGGACTTCTGATTTCAGGGAAGAAAGAGGTGGGATGGAGCTCCTTCCCTTTAGAAGAGACCCCTCGCACCTACGACCATTTGCTTAGCGGCTGTCACGACGGCGCTGAAGAAAGTGGCTTAAAACCAGTCCTCATTCTGTCACAGAACTTTGGGATCAAAATTCGGGCTCTTGGGACCTGGTGTGTATTTGTAATGGTTGCAGCCTCCCAAGGACATAAGACCAAAAATTTGCCACCTTCCTAGCCCGTTTCTGGCAAAGTCAAATGGGGGAAGCCCAGTTTGCAAGAATCATTTAGGCCTGCAGTGATTTGCTAAACCCCAGCGACACAAATGGCTGTAAAATGGAGTGTGAGCCACTTAACAACTGCTTTGCTTAGCAGTGGACGTTTGGGTTGTAAGTGGAGGACTACCTGCATTAGGGTGATGCTGGAGAAAAATATTGGTTTCTCTATGGTGCTCCGGGCCACCAGGGATTAACAGAGACCCGTCCCCTCCTAATCTCCTAGTTTCAATAGGGTCAGCTAAAGGGTATTGCACCCCCAGGTCAGAAAGGGACTTGGGGCTCTTGACATAAACCAGTCCCAGGATGTGAGACTTTAGGATGCTGGCTGATTTCCTGGTCTGCCTCTCAGGCAAAGACGGGGGAGTTCTGCCAGTAGGAATAGACGAGGAACCCGGTGAAGATGCTGTCTGTTTTCACACTGGAGTAGAAGCCAGTGTACTCGCCCACTGTCACCTGCACCCAGACTTCGTCCTCAGGTTCCAGCCGTACCAGGCTGCCTCCGGACAGAGAGGTCGGCTTGGGCCAGTTGCCGTAAAACTGGAAGAAGGAGGCAACCGACTTGCCGTTCTTCATGATGTCGAACTGGAGGCTCATCCGATAGACGGTGGCGTGCACGGTGAAGTAGTATAACCCTGGGATTTCGCACATGAACTTGCCGGTGTTGCTGTCATAGTGGCCTTGCTCGTTAATCAGGACAATGTCGAAGACGATGGGCTCGTCGGGCAGCGGTGGGCTGCGGGACTCGGAGCGCTTTGCGCTGAAGGCCGAACGGGGTGCCACTGCACACTCCCCCTGGGCTCCCTTCTCCCCCGGGAGCCCGTTGCTGCCTGGGCTGCCTGGGTCCCCTCGGGGGCCTGTCAGTCCTTCAGGGAGAAAAAGTAAAAGCAGAGTTGGGTGAGAGCAAGAATGGAGGGTTAAACATGGAGTGAGGAAGGAAGGAGATGGGAATGAGAGGAAGGAAGGAAGGGAAGGAGA